TCATCATAATTTGTAAATTCTTGTCAGAAAGTCAGACTAACTGACCACAACTGAATGTTGAAACCTTCCAAGGGGGGTGGATACGTTCTGAGGCTCTGCTAGCAGATGGCTAATCTTAGCAGCCATAATACATCATGTGTTAACCCATTGTTAGCTCAGCCAGCCTATCTACTGTTCACCTGCTGACAAGACAACAGGGTGAGTAGCTTCAGTCAATAACGTATGTGATGAGAGACAGAAGTTGTTCATCTCTTCTCCTGTCTAAACCCAAACCCTCACCAGAGACGTCTTCTGGTAGGCCTGACCAGGAGCGAGCCTCGCCACTCGAGCTTCATAGTTGGCTTTCAGCTTCTGGTTCAGGCGTGATGCTTCCTCGATGGGCGTCAGCTCTCTGCAGCACACAAACGAAACACAAGCAGTGTGTCAGTGGAGGTGTGTGTCACTACAGCTGATCAGCAGCTCAGACGCCTGCCTACGGAGGTCAGATATCATACAAAGCAAACACAAGCACCGGAAACCTCCAGACCTGATTAGATTCTGCAAGTTACATCCACATGTTTGCAGACAGCTTTTGTTTTGCCTCATAGATCCCATCCCAACATGTTCAGACATTCTAGTTCCAGGCCCAGAGTGAGTCAAGCTGTATGAGGACAGGAAGAATCTGTTTCAGTATAAACAGTGTTTCACAACGAGTCCAGCTGCTTCCTAGGAACCGTTATCTCTGCTTCCTTATCTGCTTCAAAGGATGTGTGTTGTTGATGCTCCTCATCCTTACTTTCTGCTCGAGTCCTGTGATGCTACTGTCTGCAGTCTCTGGAAGACTTCAGGAGGCAGGAAAGGCGAGAGCTCCCCTCCACCGTCCGACTGGACCCTGCGGTGGCCGGTTCTGGTCGGGCTGCTGGACGTCTGCTCAGCAGGAGCTTCAGCTGCACGGTCTGAAGACACAGGCAGAGAAAAACATGTCTTCATCTGGTTCAGTCAAAAAAAAATCACTTTTAAATTTGTTTTCATAATTTAAAAAAAAACAAAACAAGATGTATATTATTATTGTGTATTTATCCGTTAACTACCTTTTGAACCTGTTGTTTCACAGATAAATTACAGATAACAATTAAAGAAAAGGGAACAATGTGCCTGTTGACTGTATAAAAACAAACAAACAAACAAACAGGTCATAACTGTAAATAATGTCCAAACATGTGAATCTTAATGTTAATCTGCTGTGACTGTAGATGTGCACAGCTCACCTGTATTTAAATCATTACTTTACTGATACTTGCTGCTATTTTCACTGCTTACAGAGTTTTTGTATATTTACAGGATTATATTTTTATATATATATTTATTTCCATCCTGGTGTTTGGCTCAGAGCACTCGCTGATACACTAGACAGCTGTGATTGGCCGGTGTGTTTATAGATGCGGCTGATGGAGGGATGTGTTCACCAGTGTCTGCGGCGGCGGCCGTCTGATGGGGTTCTGGTCGGCCGGCTGGAGCAGCAGCAGCAGAGACGTGGAGGTCCGGCGGGTCGGCGCTGCTCCCGATGAAGGACCTGGCTCGCTCCAGACACTGCTCGGCCAGCCTCAGCATCCGCTCCACCTCCACCGCCACCATCTCCCTGTCCTCTGAGCGACGACAGCAGCAGAGGTGAATCACTTCTGGATTAATCTATCACACGGCGGCTTGACATCTGACTCAGAACCATGAACAACAATCGACTATTGTGCTGAACCCGATCAGTTCGGGCCGCTGGAGTGACTAATGCTGTTGGCAGAGCTGCTGTAACCATCCACCAGGCTTCTCCTGCACTGGTATCAGAACGTGTTATTGTTCAAGGCAGCCACATCCTGTCATCTCATTAGAAACGACTGCTGGGCGACTTCTGAGTGACGTGTAGCTAATTCCTGTTGCTGTTCCCCGGTAAGCCTCTGGACTAGTTTCTGGGAGGTTCTCTTTGCTCCTGTCTCGTTGTTTTCACTGTTTTATAAAGTCTTGGACCTCTATGGACACAGAAAAAAGCCTCTGTGCGGTTTGACGCTATCATAAAGCTGTAAATCAGAAACAAAGTTCAATTCTTTGACTATTTCTTTTGTTGGAATCAACATGTTCAGTTCACAACGCTTCTGTCTGTTGTCTGAAAACAGGAAACACGCTGTTTAAACCTGATGGCAGGGTTTTGGGGTTGCGAGAGCGAAATAAACAGAAATACACCAACTCATTCGGACCACCTCTGACTAATCTGAGCTTGTAGTCATTGGTGCGGCGTCAGATCTTGTCCGACCCGCCTGGCGCCCCCAGAGGTCTGTGGAGGAGTCCTGCAGCAGATCCTTTAAGTCGTGGAGCTGCAGGTGGAGCCGCCACAGATCATCCTGTGAATCATCCTGTGAATCATCTGTGGAAACCTTCCTACGTCTTCGTACGCTGCTACCAGAATCACTGTTCACATCCCGACCGGTGCTTCCCAGAACCTGACGAGCAGCGCCGAGTGCTGTTTGAACGTAATCTGCTGTGAGCGCTCATAACATTCGGGCGCGTCGTGTCCGTGCACGTCAGACAGAAATCAGTGGTGGAGAGTAATCATGTACATTTACTCAGGTAGGAACAAGTCTGAGGGACTTTACTCGAGTATTTCCATGTAGCGCTACTTTCTCCTTCCTCTCAAGTACATTTAAAAGGAAATACTGTACTTTACTTGATTACATGTATTAGTCTAATTACTGACACAATAACGAGCTGTTAAAGTCAGGATGATTCTCCTCAGAGTGGATCCTGTCTACAGACGGTTCTGGTAGGTTCTGGAGCTAAACCAGTCCTTCTGGTTCTGACCAACCACCATCACACATGCTGACATGAGCCTGGAAAGTTTACCCAGAATGCACTTTGTGAAGTTTCCTCTGGTGACTGATCAGAACCAGAACCACATCCAGGGTACCAATGATTGTTTCTATGACTCTGTGTCTGTAGGAGCCACAAATGTTGATTTGAGTGTTTATCACTGGGTTATTGGTTTGTTTATGTGGTTGTCATGGTGATGTGGAGCATGGGTCAGCCGGGTGTAGCTGGTGACAGGTGGAGCTGTCAGAGGGCTGACAGGCAGGCATGCGGTGGTTTTGCCAGAGAGAGGAGGGCTGGGTAGCCGTCATGGTTGTTGACCGCCACGCTTGATTTATTTACACTAAAGTGTCTTTAATCTTAGAGAAGTTTAACGAACTGTGTAATGCTGTGAATCACCATCTACGTTAACAAAAGGAGGAAACCATATCGGACTTTTGTGCATTATTCAGGAAGCGACAGCGCGTCATACAATTAGACAGAACCCATCCTCGGCCCATAGACATTAAACTGATCTGGAGTCTGACTGGTACCACCATGAGACATCCCATAATATTAACCTGTGCTCAACAGTGGTCCAGAATGAACCAAAGTTTGTTCAGAATTTGTTCAAAACTACTCTAAAATTTTCCAAAATGACAGAAACCAGATCCAGTGTCCAGCCTGAGACACCAGTGGGTCCAAACATTTATCAGTGATTCAAACGGAGCTCTGACGTGTTACTAGTTCATCAGAAAATGCTTAAAATGTCATGAAAGATCCAAAACTATAGAAAAACTGGTCACAACTTCTCAAAATCTGCTCAAAGAGGCAAAAACCCGTCAGACGTGACTCAACATTTGTCCAAAATGACTCAAAACGTTGTTTAAAGTGACATAAAACTTCTCTAAAATTAAACAAAAACCATCAAAAACTACTTAAATTTCAGTTAGTGTTCAGACTGAGACTCCTGGATGGACGGAGAACTGATCTGGTGTCAGGTTCTAGCAGTTTTTTTAGCAGCATAACTGCAGCAATTTAATGTCTACAACCCTGAAAATGTCCAATTTGAATAATCTGGACATACCTGGAGTCATTTTGGACAGTTTTTAAATGATCTTGGACACATTTTGAGTCATTTTGAACTGTTCTTGAATGATGTTAGATGTGTTTTCAGTCAGTTGGAAAAAAAACTGAATAATTTTGAACAATTTATTAATTCATTATTTTAAAAAACGCATTTTGACTCATTTTAGACACAATTTTGAGACGTTTTGAACAGTTCCTGAATGATCTTGGACACATTTTAGATCCTTTGAGACCAAGTTTAGCTGTTTTACTCAGATGTGTTCTTCCTCCTAAACGTCATGTGTCTATCTGCTGTACTGATGAAGTTCTGAGGCTCAGAAATGATGGAAAAAAAATTTAAATTAAAGCCCCACCCCATCAAGGCCTGTAACTAAAACTATTGCACGGCTTCATTAAATACTCTCAAGTGGTTGTAGATGAAACATCAGCTGACTCTGAGGGGTCCAGCCCAGGCTCTGGTTGATCAGCACTGTCTGCCAGTAACAACGGATTAAACAAGCGTGCTAGCAGCTGTTTAACCTGCTGCTGCCTTGAACTCAGGATGAGTGTTTAAGAAGCTACCTGCTGCCTCCACTAGATGGCTCTGTACAACATGGAAAACACACACTAGAGACACAACACAGAAACCAATCATGAAGTGAGGTATTATGCTGTAAACCAGACTCTCCAGGCCACTGCTCGTATCTTACTTTGAGATGCAGCTTCCTCCAGCAGTGCGTGTGAGATGTAGTTGATGGTGCGCAGGTATTCACAGTAGGCCTCCTGCAACGAGACCACAGGCAGGTTAGACTCTGTCCAGTGAAGCCACACACTTCTACAGCTCATATTTATTTATTTATTACAGCTTTTCTTCTTTAGAAACAGATTTTGATGCTGTTCTCTGGATGTTCTCCTGCTGGAATGTTCCTCTTCTTCATCTGGTCAGCCAGTATCCTGGTTCATCCTCAGACATTCATGGAGCTTCTAGAAACGTCATCAACACCTTCTGCCCTCATGCAGCCCCACATCATGATGCTGCCACCTCCGTGCTTCACTGTCAGGACCATGATCCACTGTGGTGGTCCTGGTCAGGTTCACACCAAACATCTGGACTCCATGTGAGCCCAACACATTGATCTCCATCTGACCAGAGGATGTTCTCCAGCATCCATCAGGCTTCTGTTCATGTTCTCTGGTGAACTTTGATGTGGAAGTTTAGCTGTGAGCAGCAGCCAGGTTTAGTTCTGCTCCTCCGTCCATAGAGGCTGATGTTCTGAAGTGTCCTTCACACTGTGTGAGCTTCACACTAACTCTGGTCTCCATTGATCAGCCCTGTGCCAAGTCTGAAGCAGCTGCCTTTGTCTGGTGTCCACAGCTCCATAGTGACAGTAGTTGACTGTCCGTGGAGTCATTGTAGGAGGACGACCACTGCAGCCCTGATCAGTGCTGCTGTGGCTCCTTCTGGACCTCCTGGTTCCTGCTCACACTGGGCTGCACTGGGTTCTAGCTGCTCACTGATCTTCTGGATCCTTTTCCATCTTTGTCCAGTCTCTCAGTCAGATGTTTCTCCTCCTCTGTTCAGGTCTTCTCCACGTCAGGTCATTTTAGATCAAATTTAAAGTCATTTAAAGTCACTCTGGACCATGTTTACTTGTTTTTGACTAATTCTGGGTAAGTTTAGAGTCATTTCAGGAACATTTTGAGTCATTTAGGACCATTTCTATTTGTTTTGAACAAATCCTGTCATTCTGGGTAAATCGTGGGGACACATGTTAGTCATTCTGAACACATTCTGAGCCATTTAGATCTATTTTTTTTTTACTTGTTTTGAACACATTTCAAGCCATTTTCAGCCATTCTGAGCATCGGATGTTCCTCCTCCTCTGTTCAGGTCTTCTCCATGTGGAGCCATGATGCAGACATAGATAGACACAGTCCACAGGTCCAGAACTGAGGAGGTTCTGCTGCTCTCAGCTCGTTGTAGAACCATGTTCATGCAGGTGGACTGATGGAAACCACAGCTGGACTCAGTTAGTTTCACTGATCACAGCTGGATTTTATTTTTGTTGCTCTGAGCTTGAGCTTGTCGTCCTTCTTGTCCATAAGAGGAAATACTTTTTTGCTCAACTCAGATATTCAGTGATGACACGACTCTGAATCGCCTGACATGTAGGTGACATGTACTCACTTCTGTTGTCCTGAACTCACCTAAAACCGGAATATAAACATACAGGAAAGGACCTTTGAGTTTTCATATTCAGACTAATTACTGTACAGGATTAATGTAATGATCCCTACAGCCATCCGGTTTAAAAACTAGAAGATGGACATCTCTGGCTGTTGGTGGCATCACAAAGTTCATGAAGCACCGTGTTGAAGTAGCTGACATCCAGCTCATTAGTGTGACTGTGTGCAGCTGTGCAGCCTGTAGCGGTGTGTCGTGTGTCACATCTGCTGTCTCGTTCAGTGCTTTGGGCTTCAGCGGTGCTACTGACTGCAGTGACAGCGCAGAGCAGCGGGACGCTCCGGGGACGGACCGGTTAACGCTAGCTAGCCTCCGCCCCCTCCGTCTGTTTACATCCCCACAGCCCGTTTTCTGTCCGGCTAACACCGGGATGTTGTCGGTGCGGCGACGCTGCGCGGGTGTCTACCTTGTGTTTGTTCCCTCCGTCCAGCTGTATCGCTGTTTTGGCCATTTTCATGGCATTTTGAAGAGGCGTCAGTCCGCTGTCAGCTGTAGCCATGGCTAGCCTCCTTCTTCTTCGTCGATCTTCTTCTGCTGCTGCTGCGTCTCCCTCAGAGCTCCACAGCGCCCCCAGCGGCGCAGGAGGAAGTACTGGGAATTACAGCAGCAGGTGACAGGTCAGCTTCTCGTCCAGAACAAAACCAGAATTATCTGAAATACTGGAGGTGTTTTCTGTTCACATCAGCAAAGACAATGTAGATATTACCTGTAGAGAGAAAAAAAAAGTTTTCTCATTAATTTTCAGTGTGAATGAACAAAATGAACTGTAACATCAAGATTTCACCGACTTGTTACACACAGCCAGGACAAGCAGTGGAAGATTAAAACTGATCAATATAAAGTTTAGCAGTTAATAAAATAATTATATATAGCATCGTTTGACAGATAGTTGCTGTTATTTGTAAGAAAGAAATTGTATAATTGTGTATTATTTTAATGAAAATGTGCACATATTTGAGACTGTCATTTTACAGATTGTTCCTGCTTCATTCAATTGCAGACAATATCCAGTAAAATCACAAAAAGTATACATTTACACATTGACTTTAAAAAAAAAAACAAAAAAGGAAAAACAAATAAGAAAACGAGGTAAACTGAACATACCGTCCACTTGAAAACAATATTTGTTCAAAGAGTTCTTTTACGATGTGTGACGGTAAAAGTGCACTGCTATATTATATTTGGACTATTGACTGATAATTGATGGTTGTTAATATGATATCTTGTCAGATTTGTCTATTTCTTGTGAACTTATTGACGTGAACATGTCTGGTCTGCCCGTTACCGCTGCGCAGCTGCAGTTCCTCCTCCGGTCGGCGGGTGTCGCTGTCTAATGTTCCCGCAGCTGTTTCTGTCCGGTAGCGCTTCCGGGTTCTAATGTTTACAACTGGTTGCAGCGCTGTAGCTCCACAGCTTGGTCTCCGGACTGATGAAACCATCTTTTATCCTGGAAACAGCATGTTCTCCGGGTGCTAGGACCAGAACACGCTCCCGGTAGGTTCTGGATCCATTTCATAGGAAACTCTGATTGTGTTCTGATGAAAAGAGCAACGGAGCAGGTCCAGTCAAGCTAGCTGAGCTAGCCAGGCTAACAGCTAACGCTAGCTGAGCAGAAGTGTTCCTGATGTACTGATGTCCTGCAGTTCTTTTTTCTGTGTTTTTCTAAATCAATCAATAAAATAATTAAATCAATACGTGGCTTTGATTAGCATGTAGCTTAAGGCAAATATTTCCTGCGGTTAAATTTCTATTTTCTGGAAAACACGAACATTAAATGTTAATTTGTAAAATAGTTGAAGGAATTATTGAACTTAAGTCCTGAACAACAGCGCAGGTTAGCGTGGTGCTGGAGGTTCTGTTTGTCTGTGTCCTGCTGTTCGGATGCAACCAAACTAATATAAATGACATTTATATGAAGAACTGGAATCAGAGCCTTGCTGTCATTGTCCTGTCGGAGAGCTGCCGGTGGATCAGAGTCACCACATGGTGAGATCAAAACACATGAAGCACACAGTATAAAGAGGAGAGCTGGACAGTACAGTCAGCAGTAGCTACCACACCAGTCCCATCAGCTGTGTGACCATGTGATCTGGAAGCTAATGAGTTCAGGACTAAAGGTCTTTTACCCTTTTTTGTGATTACATTTAAATAGTCATGGAAATCGTTTGACAGTGAAAAAAAGACAAAAACAATGAACTGGTCATTAAAACTGTTGCAGTCAGTTTTGATTCCTCGACTCCTTTTTGCAGCTCCAGTGAACATGCAGATGTTTAGTATTATACGTGTTGTTATACATATAAGGGCCTTCAGCGTCACAGGAGTCCTTCTCAGGGTTTGGAGCTGGTACTGACCAGCTTTAGAGCTCAGACCAGCTTTCTGCATTCAGAGGCAGAATCTGAAACCGTGTCCAACACGTCCAGAACAAAGACTATTTACAAAAGGAAAAGCATGAGTTTGTTTATAAGACAAATAAGTTGTGACAAACGTTTTCGTAGCAACAGAAGATCAGCTGACAGTTACCGGTCTGGATCTAGATCTGGGTCAGTTCCACTCAACATGTCATTGATCAGCCCTGAAGCTTTACCAGCAGCGCCCATCGGCTCATTGGTTCACTGTCACTTCACAACTAAATCTGACCCCTTTTGTGAACACAGGCTCAAGTTTGACACAGGTACATAAAATACCCTAAAAAACTGTTTCATCAGGAACTCGTTGTTTTGTGACCCGGTGACCCAAACCCTAACCCAGCCTGCTGTGTTGTGCTGCCCACAGTGACGCAGGCAGCAGGGCTCCCTTCAGCCGCTGACCGTCCAGACACGCAGCAAGCTATGAAGAAGAAGAGCAGACGTCCGAGGTCGTCGGAGGCTTCACGACAGGGCGGCAGGACGATGGCGGACGGCAGCGAGGAAAAGAGGCCGTCTGGAAACAGAGGGAGGCCTCGGAAGACTGTCGCCGCGGACGGTTTCTACGGTGACGCCGCGGCAACAGACAAGACGGCAAACTCCGACTTCAGCAGGACGACGGCCGACGACACTCAGAAACATCCAGAGAACAAGTCCAGGACGTCCGGTGAGACAGACACGACACAGAACTCCAGTTTAAGAATAAATCCTTTAAAATGTTCAGTTGGTGTTGATGTAATGAAAGCTGGTGGAACAGTGAAGCGTGTTTCAGCTCGAAGAAACATTTCAGTGTTTGGTTTCTTCAGAGTTGTACTTTAAGGTTTCAGAGATGAGTTGAGGGCTTTCAGGCATTCAGGGTGACGTTAACGCGACCCACGTGGACTGTTCTGTCCCGGCAGGTCGACTGTCCACCGCCGTCTGCCGGCTCTGCCACGGGAAGTTCTCCCCTCGCAGCCTGCGACACGCCTTCATCAAGTGGCCTCAGGATTCCCTCGACATCGTGGACGAGGAGTCGGACGCCGCCGCTCAGTCGCCGCTGCTGTTCCACTCAGACTTCCAGCGATTAGTCGGCGTCCAGCTGGACCGGGACCCTCGACTGTCCGAGTTCATCTGCAAGAAGTGTCACGCCAAGTTCTACAAGTGCCACAGCATCCTGCTCCGGTTCCTGCAGAGAGTCAACCTTCCGCCGGTCGGGAAGGAGCAGCTGAAGAGCCCGTGAGTCTGAGAGCAACATCTGATCCGCGGGTCGGTTCCAGTCCTCCAGATGCTGTTGGTGCTTCTCCGTTTAATTACTGGTTCTTTGGGGCTCAAAACTACGTTCTGTAAAATATTTCTGCTGAATTTAGAGAATTTCATGTTCTCACACGGAGGGACCGTCTCACCTGAGGAGCCATTTGAAGGGTTAAATATCTCCAGAAATCCAACTCCACAGCCGTGAGACACGCTGAGGACGCAGACAGGAGGGTTTCCTACAGACTGAAATGATCAAATAGATCCAGCAGAGGCTTAAATATTAGTCACTGGCTCTTAAAAATATGTAGAAAATATTGAATGTGGCTGAAGTCGCTCAGCTGGGAGAGCGTCAGACTGAAGATCTGAAGGTCCCTGGTTCGATCCCGGGTTTCAGCAGATCAGTGTGACTTTTGAACGTTTCCCCACCGTGGGATCAAGAAACGATGATCTTAGAACGTGTGTCTGTACATCTACAACTAAAATACAGACATGACAGACTAGCAGACTATATTCTAGAAGATTCAGATCATTAAGTGACTCCAGCAGAGGACAGTTTGTCGTTATTGGCTCTTAAAGCAAAACCTCCAACCAGGCTGGTGCTGATCCACAAAGTTCCTGTCAGTGTCTGTCTATGGATGGATCCATGGTTCTACTAGAACCCAGTCTCTGGTCACATCTCACCAACTGTTGAGGCTCTAACATCAGTAGAACCTGATGTGGTGAAGTTGGACCAGACAAGGTTCTGGTTCTAGACAGATAGACACTGACAGGAACTTTCTGGGTTCAACATGTAAAACTGAGCCGATATAAAAGAACATCGTCTGCTGGATCCATTCGTTCTGATCTGATCTGTCTGCGTCCTCAGAACACTTCATGGCTGTTGGAGTTTGATTTCTGGAGGTTCTGAACCTGGAAACGGACTCTCAGGTAAAAATGTAAACAGATCATTTTCCAGAAACATGAAATTCTCCAGAATGTTTCATAAAACCTAGCTTTCGGCCCAAACGAACACCTTGATGAAACCTGCTGTGGTGCAGCACCATGCTCCTGGGTTCTGTCTGAACCGACCCGAGTGTGGACGAGTGTTTACCTGCAGGAGACGAGTGAACGTCTGTTTGTGTTTGCAGGAAGAATGTAAAGAGTCCAGAGTCGTCAGCCAACCACAGCTCAGCAGGTACACTTACATCTCCTCGTGTTCCGACAGCTTTCCTTTGTTCTGGTTCTGACCCTCTGTTTCCTGTCAGCGCCGGCCTCCCTCACCTCCGACCCGAAGTGCCTCCACAGCCTGGTGTCCTGGGCCCACCACCACGCCGAGGCCTGCCGCTGCTGCCCCGACCTGAAGGAGGTGCTGGAGGGCCGGTGCTGGGGCTCGGTCCAGGCCGTGTGGGGCTGCGTGGACGGCCACCGCTACATCATGGACGCTCAGAGCGGTGCCGGTTCCGGGCCGGGCCTCGCCGGGAACCTCGTAGGGGTTTCAGAGGAGGAGCAGGAGGACGAGGAGGAGGAGCAGCCCGGAGGAAACAGAAGCACAGGCAGCCTGGTCCAGCATGGCCCGGCCGCCGGCACAGCACAGATACAGAACCCAGCGCTGGACGAGTGGACCGGCCCCACTGCAGGTCAGTCACACTAACATGCTGGTTCTGAAACGACCGTTCAGAGCCAGAACCTTTATCTACTGACCAGAGTTCTACCTCCAGACTGTGAATGTTCCAGAGCTCCAGAACCTTTAAGTCCACAGAGGAGGGTCCAGATTGATCACTTTAATGGACTTTTTCCATCATCCATAGGCTCCGCCCCCCACGACCCGAGTGAGGATTAAGGTGTCGAGATGATGGATGGATCCGTTTGTTAGTCTGGTTGTGTTGGACTCAGGATCAGTTTAAGAGGAACCAGCTGTAAATGGATCTAAATGTTTCTGTTGATAGAAGGCTCACATGTTGGTTTCTGTGTGTTTGATCTAATCATTGAGATGAAAAGTAGGAACCAGAACCAGAACCAAAGTGCTCGTGACTGTCTCAGAGTTCACAGCTAAAGCATAAAGGTTCAGGCGTGAACAGGCTTCAGGTCTTATTTCTGTGTTCACTCAGCAGACGGTCCGGTTCTTCATCACGCCGGCCACGAGGACCCGTTATCTCCGGCTGCAGCTCCGGAGGACAGAACCGCCGACAGCGATCTGTCCGACAGGTCCGACTCACTCACACACATGAACGGCACCGCAGCTCGTTTCAGCACAGAGACAAACCAGACGGAGCACAGAACAGGAACCAGAGGGAAAGCGAGAGGATGTGTTTTAAAAAAGGCAGTTTAATGATTTCTCAGTTATTCATTCAGTGAAGATTTTTATCAAACCGTCAAATTATAAAACCATAAATGACTGTAGTTCAGTTTCAGCTTTAGTCAGGTTCTTATTTACAGCAACATTCAGTTTGAGACGCTGGTTAGATGGTTTCCACCTTTAAGGAATCCAGTCTGATTCAGATCGGTTTCACCTAAAAGCTCAGAGAACACACTGAGACCACGCTTATCTTCTTTTACAGTAAATGAGACGCACTTCACACCAAGAACGCATTTATTCATCCGTCAGATAAAAACTAAATGAGTCAGTAAGAGCTTCATCCCTCCTGAAGATGCTTCTGTTCCTGTTGTGTTGCCTCTGATGTTCTGAACTCTGTTTCCAGGCTCGTGTCTGAGGAGGAGTTTGAGGAGAACAGAGGAGCAGGACTGTCGGACGAGGAGCTGTTTGAGCCGTACGCCGATAAAAGGTCGGAGCATTTCCTCTGAAATACACACCGTGAAGCTGCTCGTCTCATCACAGGCTGACACGGAGCTGCCTGATGAGGGCGCAGTTTGGTTGTTAGGTGGCAAACCAGCGTTTCATGTGTCTGAGTTCTGAGAAGAACCAGGTCACTGCTGAGCTGTAGGTCAGGTCTGTAAGCTGGACCTGAAGCAGCTGTTTATCTTCTACCAGCTGTTTCTAATGCATCATCTGGAGCTTCTCATGATGCTAACGCGGCCCTTCTTGCATCTTAGCGCCTCCAGCGAGGACGAGCAAGAAGGAGGATTAATGACGTGGCATCAGTCGGTCTGACGTGGCAGCAGCATTTAAACATCACTAACGTGATCAGACAGGGTTTCAGACCTTTAGTCTCCATCCAGTCTGGAGGAGAAACCAACCAGAGCAGGTGTAAATGTAGAACAGAGGCCCTGAGATGAGTGAAGCTGTGAATGTGATGAAGGATCTCCGTCTTCCCTCCCAGAGCTCGCCGGCTGACCGTCCCCAGCAAGAGGAGACGAAGCCCGAAGGCCCCCGAAGAGCCCAAAGTCAAGAAGAAGCCCGGACCCAAACCCGGCTGGAAGAACAAGTTCAAACCTAAAGGGTGAGCATCAGTCTGACTCCACCTCCAGCTTAGAACCACTTCATACTGAAATGTTAACCGGCCGCCGCTGTGTTTGTCTCACAGGGAGGAGCTCCCCAACATCTACAAGTGTCCGTACCAGGGCTGCACGGCGGTGTACCGGGCCCCCGATGGGCTCAAGGTCTCACCTCATCTCACTGGTAGAACCATTCCTCGACTGTTGGTCGGTGAGAACAAGGAGCTGATGTTTGTTGTTGTTTCAGAAGCACATCAAGGAGCACCACGAGGAGGTGAGGGAGCGGCCGTGTCCTCATCCCGGCTGCAACAAGGTGTTCATGATCGACCGTTACCTGCAGCGCCACGTCAAACTCATCCACACAGGTCAGTCCGGGCTGCAGACGGTGCTGCTCGGTTCTCTGAGGCACCGCACGTCATGAACACGTCATGAACACGTCATGAACACGTCATGAGCTGCTTCAGGGAACTCAGGAGGTTCATATCCAGATGTGAGCGAGGAACTAACTCCTGATCAGGAAGTGGTTTCAGTGAAAACACACCTGTTCTGTCCACAGGAGCCAGTGAGGCTCCGCCCTCAGCTGTGTGACCAACTAGCATTCCTACGCTAGCAACTAGCACCTATAGGTTACTCAATAGCATCAATAGGCTAGCAGTTCGGTTACTCATTAGCATCAGTAGGCTAGCAACTAGCATCTATAGTTTACTCATTAGCATCAATAGGCTAGCAGCTAGCATTTGTAGGTTACTCATTAGCACTCAATAGGCTAGCAACCAACCTTCCCAGGCTAGCAACTTGCAACTAATGTTCCTGTACTAGCAGATAGCATCCATTGGTTTGCAACTAGCATCCATATGTTTAAAAGTAGCAAAGGCAGGCTAGCTGCTAGCACCCTTAGGCTTGCTGGTAGCATTCCTAGGCTAGTTATTATCCACAGGGTTGTATTTAGCATTGCTAGCATTCCTTGGCTTACAACTAGCATTGCTAGGCTACCTACTAGGCTTTTAATTAGTGCTCTTAGGTTAGCAACTAGCATCCTAGGCTACTCACGAGCAATAATTGGCTTGCAGCTAGCACTGTTAGGCTAGTGGCTAGGTTCCAGAGGCTTTAACCGTGTCTTTCTAATCACAAATAGTTTTACTTATTGATTTTAGATCATTAATCTAAAATCAAGGCTTCTGCACCTCACAGTGTAGATTATAAAGTCTTCACTTTCCACGTTTAGATGTTTGGTTTTTTTTGTCAGAAAGTTGCTCGACTTGTTCTGTTGAAACGATGAGTGTAAATCTTTTCCTGTTTAATGTGCCACATCACAAGTCATCAGCAGCTGGAGGTTTGTTCTCGTCTAACTGACTCGGTGTGACTTGTGTGTGTGCAGAGGAGAGGAACTACATCTGTGACCAGTGTGGTCAGACCTTCAAGCAGAGGAAGCACCTGTCGGTTCACCAGATGAGGCATTCAGGGGCCAAGCCGCTGCAGTAAGTCGCCTCCAGTGTTGGTGTGAGGTTACGGTTCAGACCCAGACTGGTGGATGATTCAGACTCCTGTTGCTGTTTGTCTTCCTGCAGATGTGAGGTTTGCGGCTTCCAGTGCCGCCAGCGAGCGTCGCTCAAATACCACATGACCAAACACAAGGCCGAGGCCGACCTGGAGTTCGAGTGTCTGATGTGCAGGAAGCGCTTCGAGAAGGCCCACAACCTGAACGTGCACATGTCCATGGTCCACCCGCTGACGCAGGCCGAGGCTCAGCGGGGCGGCCAGCAGCAGCAGCAGCAGCAGCAGCAGCCATCCTACTCGGACCTGCACACCATCACGCTGACCGGGGAGGTGGTCCAGCAGGAGCAGGACAGGTGACGGCAGCAGGTCCGGGTCTGCTGCACCGGGATGTGACTGGGTCCTCTGCTGCTCGGATCTCCTTCATTCCAGAAAGAATCTGGATTCTTCCCTCGCTGACAGCCGCTGCAGAGCAACCTGCTGGACCCGACCTGCTGGACCGACCGTCTGCCATCTACAGGTGCAGCTTGTGTTTTATGAGCTGGACATAGACACAGAGTTATAATCCTCAAGATCCACTGAACACAAGCTCAATCTGGACTCATTCTCTAAACACAGATGCAAAACAAAAGGTAGTTTAATAAATAACTGTCTTTATTAGCGGCACACTGTTCCCCCATAACCAGGGCTAAACAAACAAACAAACAAACAAACAAACAGCACCGGTATCAGGCCTGCTGTCAACGCTGCTGCAGCCACAGATCAAACCACAGAGCAGCAGGACACTGAACTTCTTCACCAGACAAGTCACGGAGCTCAAACATTGATTTGTTGAGACGAAGATTCAGAAGAACATGAACTGATTGACTTGTGTGTAAAACAGGACTGTAGCTGAGGACTGGAGTCGTCGCTGCTCTTCAACCAGCCGGCTGGTCACAGGGACAGAAAGCCATCGATGTCTGTAGAAGAACTAAACATTCCTGCTCCTCCAGCGTCTCTAGTTTGATTTCTGATCGACTCGTCACCGTAGAAACTCCAGGAGACGCCTGACGTCCAGCTGCCCGACCTGTCGTTGGTCCTGATTGGTCGCTGCTCCTGCTGCCGTCGTTCACGTTCGTGTTGAGAAGCAGCAGAGATTCACTTTTAGCAGTTTTAAACTAGAATTTGAATGAATTTCTGTTATTGAGCCCAAAAGCGACTCGTGTTGCTGCTGTTTGCTGAGCAGCCGACCAAACTACAGATGTGGTTGTTCATCTCGTTATGACATGAGGTGATAAACACGTACTTTGTTCTCTAACAGAGCTGCAGCTGGATTCACTGAAGGCGTTTTTCTACTGTTCAGACACGTCCAGGTTTTGACGGAGTTCGTCCTCATGACGTGCTTTCCTGCAGGACACAGTTTGTGCTGCTGCGTCCTGTAAAGCTGATGAGCTGCTCCAGCGACCTCTGGGGTCTTATGCAGTGTTTTAGTGGGTAGACGCTTTTATTGAAGCAGCAGCAGTGGTGGCAAACATTCAATTAGAGCTCTGATATGGAAATAAATAAATATAAACCCAGTCAGTTGTTACTGATGAGGAGACTGGTTGGACTCCATGATAATCTTCAGGATTATAACTCGACGACAGCCTCTCTGGTGCCTGTTACAGACCTGATGTTTAGAGTTTACACTGCCTGGTGCCGGTACGGAGGCCCGCAGAGCTCAACACGGTCCAGCCTTCATGAAACACCTTCACCAGTTGGACCTCAAACACGAGCTAGCTGTCGTTAAATTACTGAGTTGAAGATCCAAAGAGGATAAGAATGTAATGTGGAGCTGCACTAAGAGTCAGATCACCGACGGGATGAGCGAAAGAAAACTAAACACGTGTTTGACTGTTTAAAGAATCGATGAGGTGGTTTTAAATTCTCAGATTTTAGAGTTTGCTGCTCGTCTTTTGCCTCAGAAAGTTTCAGACTAAATGACTTCATGACGTCACCTGGAGCTGCAGGTAAACTGACAGACTCTCTACACGACGGGAGCTTTTCACTGACTCGTGCGTCTTTGTGTCGTCTTATCATGATACGTACAGCAGCTCATACATAACCAGCGTTGCTTCAGGCTGACGGTGTAGAAGGAATCGTTTCTCATTTTACAGGACGAGGTGTTAGCCGAACAGAAAGCAGCCGTTATTTGGTCAGTGTTTGGTGAAGGTTGGTGAAGGTGTTTCTCAGCCGGCTTGTTGCTCTGCAGCACGTCAAGCTCTCAGGTCTCCGTACTCTGATCGACACCAATCTGTTTATCTGCTAGCCGACAGCTACAGCCACATAGCGACGACTATAACCGACATTAATGCAGTCCTGAGTCCTCCGAGGCAACGTTCTGGTTGCCCAACACATGCAGTCTAGTTTTATTAGGGCACTGTTTTTATTAAGTTATTACGACGCTGCGTTCTCTCTACTGTAGCAGTGAAAGGGCTTCACGTGTACGTGTGTGTAATAAAGTGTGTATTCTGTATAAAATGACGTGTAAATAAAAGCTGGGAGTTTTCTACGAAGCTGAGCATCGAGTTTTCTTTCCGGTTTGAGACATGTGACACCCTGTTTGTGGCTGGGTTACTGGATGCTTCAGCGTGGTGAGTTACCGTCACAGGAAGTCCATCTCTGGGCTGAGGCTGGGGGGGTCGAGGTGCAGCAACAGAGCTGCTGCCACATCTGGATCCACATCTGGATCCACATCTGCACACAGCGCCTGCAGCTGGACAGGAGGAGGAGGTGTAGTTTCATACAGATGATTAGTAATCAAGGAGAAACCGCTGCATGTGTTAGTGGTTGAGCTGGTGTTTATGATGTTCGACTCTGATGCAGCCTCCATCCCTCTGGAGTCACTCAGTCTGTCTGCGGCTTCGTCTGATTGGTTACAGGTGAAGAGCAACAGCCAATCAACAGAAGCTATTGTTTACGCAGAAGGACCGATGAGCACATTTGCAGGTTCGCTGGATTGAAGGCCAATTCATGCTTTCCTCATTTCTCTATAAATCTGCTCCTGTGGGCGTCGCTACAGCTCACCTGGCTGAGCTGGCGTCCCAGGTACAGGGCTATAGTCCCCAACACGGAGGTCATGGGTTCCAGTCCTGCTCATGGCCCTTTTCCACAGGTCCTTGCCCCATTCTCCTCCCCCACTTTCCTGTCTGTCTTGTCAAATAAATGCAAAAAGGCCCCAAAAATGAAATAAATAAACCTGCCCCTGTGCCACCTCAGGAGTAGCCGCTCTACGGTGCTGCAGCTTCCGCCGGAGCTTCTTCCTGTTTGTCTGTCTTCAGCGTGACATGGCAGACGGACACACCTGCTGAACTATGAACAGAGCGCCTATCAGCCAGATTAGCATTAACAGTCCTGATAACGAAGCTTTATTGATCCCTCACATGTACGTGACACAGATGAGTCATGAAGAACAGAAACTAGACTGAACCTCAGCAACATCTATAACATTAGCTTCCTGACTGCTAACGTGTTCGTCTGTCTTTCTGTGTAAACAATAGCACTCAGTGATTGGCTCGTGACGTACAGCAGCCAATCAGAGAGACCGGTGGGCGGGCTACAGCCAGAGAGGCAGGAGGCTGCACCAGAGCCACAGCAGACGTCCATGTCCTTAACAGGCTTTGGTTATTAAAGACACCAGTATTTATGATTGGGCTGCTGACCTGTCTGAGCTGGCTGGAGCTGGAGGAGAGAGCAGCCGGAGACGATTGTGAGATCACCGTCAGAATCAATGTTCTGGTCTGTTTCAGGATGTGAGAAGGTTCCACCTGGAGACACAGGTCACGGTTTACAGAGCTGCCTTCATGCTTTAATCAGCCACACCTGAACAGGTTCACACCTCACCTGCTCCTCAGTGCTTGTTGCAGGAGTGTCTCCGTCCAGGAAGAGCTGCAGTGTGCTGATGTAGCAGCTGACGGCCGTGTGAAAGAAGCCTGGACAGCGCAGAGCTTCCTGCAGCAGCTCAGGACTCTGCTGCAGCAGCAGGCTGGACAGATGGACGAGTGTAGAGAGGACAGGACAGACGAGGTTTTCACTTATAAACTGCTTGTTAGTCCTCAGACTATTTGTCTTTGCAGTGTTCTGCTGTCAACAGTGTTCATGTTTTCTGATGTTGGTAACGTTCTGTAATAAGTAGGGCTGGGACCTCCATCCATCATCTCTACACCTTCATCCTCACCAGGGTCACAGGGGGCGGAGCCTATCCCAGCTGACTCAGGGTGAAGGCAGGTTCACCTGGACAGGTAACCAGTCTATCACAGGGCTACACTTAGAGACAGACAACCAAGCACACTCACATTCACACCTACGGACAATTTACAATCACCAATTAACCTCAACATGTTTCTGGACTGTGGGAGGAAGCCGGAGAACCCGGAGAGAACCCACGCTGCACGGGGAGAACATGGAGACTCCATGCAGGAAGATGCCGACGTCCTAACCGGGACGCCAACCGGCGACCTTCTAGCTGTGAGGCTACGGTGCTAACCACTGAACCACCATGCAGCCCGAGAACATAACAGCGGGAAACCTTTACTGTCCACGTAGAACTGGACATGCAGCTGTAGCCTGTTGACCGCAGCAGCGACCTCCAGCTACAGGTGTTGACTCACCTGCAGAAGGCCCAGGGCCGCAGGCGGATGAACCTATCGGACGCTACCATGGACACCGACTGGTAGATACCTCGCTCTGGAGATGAAGAGAGACGATGCATGACGTCAGAAGTCACCTTCCAAACAACGACTGTGTGAGTGCTGAACATGAGCAGGTGAAAGTCGGTACCGGTGGGTCTAAAGATGAGCAGCCAATCAGGAGAGTCGACCAGCAGGGCCAGCAGCTCTGAGCAGAACCCTCCGACTCTTCCAAGATTCTTCTGCTGCACAAACAACAGACAGGTGTCTTCGACTGCTCGTATAACTGGCAGTATTTCAGCATTTAGAACATTTGTGGTCTCTGTGCTTCGTCTGGAGCTTAAAGTCGTCAGCAGCCAGCGGTCAGCAGCTCATATGGACACATGTGGACGAACTTTCTTTGCTGTGACCGCTCCTGTTGTACCTTCTGTAAACACGCTGAGGACATCAACCTGTTGATTATTGTCTGATTAATCAGTCACTTGTTTGGACCATAGAAGGTAGAGGAGGAAAGAAACCAGAAAATATTTACGATTTAAGAAGCTTTAATCAGAGAATTTGCACTTTTTTTCTCTTTAAAATGCCTCAAATCCAAAATCAGTTATCAGAGTAGCTGGTGGTTGATGGACTAGCTGACGACTGACTGATTAATTACTGCAGCTCTAGTGTCTGCAGCCTCCGTGTGCACATCAGATAAACAGTATAACCAAAGCTCAGTGCAGCTTTCACATCTGCTCAGTGTGAACTTCATCATCTACTGAGTCTGAACAAACTCCTCTGTTCACTCACATGAAGGTTTGTGACTGCTCCAGACATCAGTCTAAACCTGGAAGTTTAGTTGTAGCTTTGTGAAACGGTAAAATCAAGCTCAGTGTTTGTTTAAAGGAGAGACTGCAGCAGAGGCTCAGGAGGAGCTCAGACCTCCAGACATCCTGGGATGAATCTGTAGGTTCAGGCTGTAACCAGCACTGAACTGAGCGCGCTCAGTCTGGTCAGTTACCTGAGGATGGAGCAGCGCCGACAGGTAGTCGTTGACACACAGAGAGAACAGGAAAACCAGCAGCTGGAGGCGGGAAGGAGACAGCAGCAGGTTAACACAGCAGAAACATGACCTGCATCTACAGAAGCTCTGAGGTGGACCATCACCACAGCCTCAGAAGAACATAGAAGTAGTTTTTATTTTCTCTGCTCAGGAATCAGAACGTGTTGTCGTCTCTGTTTATCCGTCAGGCTGTTGAATCACGGTCTATCTGACCTGTAGCCTGGATCTTCTCTCCATCTACTGATCAATCATGTGTTCATCAAAATGTCACTGAAACATGTTTGAATGTCGTCTGTTTGTCAGACCCCAAAGTATCTAGTTTACTTTCACATAAGACAAAGAAAACCAGACGTTTGGTCATTTTAAGTTATTTATCTGATATCAGAATATGTGGACGTTTTGTCGATCGGCTAATCAATGAATACACATCAATATACACAATGACTGCATCATTTTTCTATGTCTGAATTCACACATTCACGTTCAGAAATGGTTTGAACGTCTGTCAGCAGCAGCAGTGAATGGAACCGGTCCAGCCTGTGCTCAGGTCTGTATAGAGAAGGTTCTGAAGCTGCCTGCTGGTTCTGTGTTCTCACCTGTCTGTACCGGGAGTCTCTCTCTGCTCGCAGTAAACCCAGAGCTGCACTGAAGCGCCGGAGGTTTCCGTCGCAGCGCCTCCAGGCGGCGTGCAGGCTGGAGGCGCAGCTCAGATCTGCAGCCGGAGGCGTCGGCAGCAGCTGCCCGTCCTGCAAACTGAACAGAGATTAAAAGCACTTTAACACACAAAGAACGGACCAGAACCAGGAGTCACACCGTCACAGGAACATGAGGAACTGAAAGCTGCATTCTTTCATTAGTCTGTCGTGTCTCTAACGCCTGGATGTGGCAGCAGACTGTGTTCAGGAGGTTCTACCTGCAGGTCCAGTTCTGAGCGTCAGCGATGTGCTGCAGCTGCTGCGGCAGAGAATCTCCATCAGTCCGCCGCCGCCACAGAGACGCCACAACAGGAGACAGACGCTGCCACCAGAACTGAGAACAAGAAGGACAGTTCAGTGATGATCAGGGTGGAGATGTTTCTGCTCAGGTCCTAACCACAGTCTGGACATCAGGATATGAGATCTGAGTACCGACCCACGTTTAAATCACATTAGTGACACAAATAAAGAAAATCACCTGATTCCACAGCAGATGGATGAATATTAGTGCAGGTACATGTTTGAAATCATTATTATTGAAATCATAATCATTATCACCATTATTACTTTGATTTTGGTAGTTTCTCTGCTGACACCCATCTCTGTCTCTGGCTCTCTTTCATTTTTTTTTGTGATTAACATTTTTATTTTCATTGTTTTATTTCAACGATACAGCGATAACAGTAACCCCCCCACCACCACCACCACCAACAAACCCTTCCCAGGTCACCACCATCTATGCTGATCCCTTTCTGGTTACCAACATCCACCACTGTGCTCCTTCATGTTCAGCTATTACAGCTACACAGCCTGCATCAACGTAGACAGAACACTAAATATTTATCTTCAGATTTAAACACAGAAAATGATTCCAGACAAGGTTAACACAACACAAAATAATCACTACATTGAAGAAATAATAGGTCAACAAATGAAGAAATAAAGGCAATAACAGCTGAGTAAAATGCAAACAAATAAGAAGCACTGTTCTGTATTTTCCCACAAAAATGACAGCTTACTTCTCTCCACCATGTAACCACATCAGGAACCCTTTAAGAACCTCACATATCTGCCCCACTTTGCTTCATATAGGTCCAATCTACCCAGTTGTTTATATTATTATTTATTTTTTCAAATGCTGCGACTCGTGCCACCTCCACAGCCCACTCTTGGAGAGAGGGCACCCCTCCATCTTCCATCTTCTAACAAGTGTTTACCTACCAATCATAACACTGGTTTGGACTTTTAGTATGTTTATCCTCTCCTACCAGAACTGAATCATCAGCCAGAATAAACAATGTAGGGCTAAATGGCATTTGTATCTCTGTGATCTCACACAGATGATCATAAATATTGGTCCAGTATTGCTGGACTTTATCACACGACCATAAAACATGAACTAAATTACCTTCCTCAGATTTGCATCACCAACACTCTCTCTCTTTGATTTTTATTTTATTTTATGGAATTTATGGACATTTAAAAATTTTAAAAATCAACCTGAAGACCTTTACCGAGGCTCAGAGGTCCAGAAAGTCAGGATTTATCTCGCTGGTTCTGCATTTTGCAGCTAATTTTCCAGTAAATGTCCCTAAAATCCCTGACAACTATGTGATATTTAGGCTGCTTTCTAGACAACGCTACTTGATTTGATACGAACCATGAGGGAAAGTGTGCTGTTGTTTCTTTATTTAATATAAACATTTAATAAAATAAAATATATTCACTTGTGCAGAGTTGAAGGACGTAAAAAATCTCTGCACTATGAGTGACTGCTTTGGTGTGAATGATTTCAGTACCGCTGTGGAGACGAGCAGCAGAGGACAGCTCAGGCTGATCTGAGACCAGGCTCTGTTGAACTCCTCGTCTGGACGTTCACACCTTAAGCTGGCACACAGCAGACCCTGCAGAGCAAACACAGCGTCAGAAGAACACCGGAGCAGCAGCAGATGTGCTGTGATGTGCAGGGACTCACTCTGAGGAGGTGTGAGGTCACCGAGCAGCTCAGCAGGCCGACGGGGGAACACACGGGCCTCTGGTGGTCCACAAACAGGAGGTCAGGACAAACAACAGCACCTTTCTGTCCCAGTAGCTGATCAGGAGGATGGAAGCAGCTCACCTGATACTGGTTGACATGTTGGACCAGTCTGCTGCAGTCCAGCGTTGTCCGTCCTCCTCCAGCCTTCAGCTTGAAGAGCAGCACTGCCGGCAGAGCCAGCAGCACTCTGAGACCCAGACAGAGGAGGTCCACAGTCACAGCAGGAAACCCTCAGTTACAGCTCAGTGTAGGTTTGTAGACGAAACAATCCAGTGCTGTTTCTTCCTCCACTATTTCAGTTTTTACTGGTTTTTAACCCTCTGAACCCCAAAACCCATCAGCTGCTTCTTTAAAAATCTAACAAACACACGAAAAACTCCAAAATGACTCCATCAATCAGCCAGAAACCTTAAAAACAGGAAGAACTGTCAGATTTCTAGACTGTCTAACAGTCTTAGAGAACTTCTGCTGGGAAACAAACCAAATGTGAGCTAAAAGCTTAAAGACATTTCACCACAAACACTTTTTTCTACACGTCTCATTATCATTCAGCCAAAAACAACCTGTTGGAACCAAATTCCGTAAAAACAGAAGATGACTTTGTGTAGCAGTAAAACTTTCCTTCAGCCTCAGCACCAGGTTCTGTGCTGGTACCTGCAGCGTACCTGTTCCAGGTGAGCAGCGCCCGCTGCAGGCTGAGCTCGCTGCTGATGCTGGGTGAAGCCGAGGAGGAGAATCTCTGGAAAACCTCAAACAGGACGTCACAAACGTCTGCTCTGCTCCCACGGCGGTCGGAGAGGCTGGTCGCCTCCATCTCATTCACAGCCTCCTGAACACACGACATCCTGATCACATCATCTCCAGCTTCACTCAGACACACACCGCTGAGCCAGAACATTTAGAACTCTGAGGTTCTCCTGAGAGAAGAACCTTAAAATGCTGATGAGATATTATTCTACCAGAGCTGATCTTTCTCTGACCGTCACTAAACACCAGATGTGGTCTAATGCTGTTCATTTATTGTTAGTGACAATCCATTTGTTCCAACCTGTAACCGGGTCAGGAGATCCGGTAAACAGCCTCCTGGTTCTGACGCTCTTTGGTTCAGGTTCTCCGGGTCCGGCTCACCGCTGACAACAAACACAAAGCTGTCAGTAGAGGTGCTCGTCAGTCAGCTACGGTTTGATGTGAACACACACAGGTGGAGAGACGAGCTGCAGAACTGGGTCAGAACCAACATTAATGCTAGACAGGTGACTTCTGTACATAAATAGACTCTATAATCTAAACTTAGACCACCTGAGCTGCAGCGTTTAGACCTTAGAGCACCTGAGCTGCAGCTGTTGGACCTTAGAACACCTGAGCTGCAGCGTTTAGACCATAGAACACCTGAGCTGCAGCGTTTAGACCTTAGAGCACCTGAGCTGCAGCTGTTGGACCTTAGAGCACCTGAGCTGCAGCGTTTAGACCTTAGAACACCTGAGCTGCAGCTGTTAGACCTTAGAGCACCTGAGCTGCAGCTGTTGGACCTTAGAGCACCTGAGCTGCAGCGTTTAGACCTTAGAAC